TAACGCGCCGTGCCCTCCAGAAGCGGAGACCTGGAGTGTCTTTAGAGCTTTGTTTCAAGTAGTGGATGTGGCGAGGAAGCACCTTGGCCAGCAGATACTGAGCCAGTACTCGAGTGTAGCCATGAGACGTATTCAACCACGGCAACATGGTCTCCAGCAGTTCTCCACAGTCGACGTCAAGACTGTTGTCGTCCAGCTTGGTGTCCACCAGATACGCCGACACAAGTAACAGTGAAGCGCCCACTTGTGGCATCAGATTCGCATCGCCAAGCATGGGCAGCAACACGCCAGAGCAAATCTCCGTTGGGAACTTGGCAGCCATCCGCATACCGAACAGCTCCATGTAGTAGCGAACACTGGGCAGTTGAGGCACAGCAAATGCAGTAGCTAGAGTAGGAAGCAACTCTGTCAGCTGCGACTTGGTCACGTGTGCACTGACGATGCAGAGAGCCTGCCAGGAGCGCAGTTTCTTGCCGAACCCATCGCTGTTGAGCATGTGTTGCTTCTGCCACTCAGGCGTCACATTGAGCTTCAGAAGTCGAGCTGTCAGAGCATCAAAGAGCTGCTGCGTATCGTTACTGGACGAGCTCTTGTCGACAGCGACGTCGTCCACGAAGCTCAACATGACAAGCCGCACAAATCTGTCCTTGGCGTGGGTCGTGACCGCTGCTGTCTGGTTGCCATCGAGAGGAGAATAGCCTTGGAATCCTTGGAATGGAGCACCCGCATCCGTTGCCAGCTGCTCCTTCTCGTCGATCAAAGGTTCCTTATACAGCAGCAGCTCCACCAGCTCGTCTACAAAGGACAGAGCCGACACTGGGTGTGCACGCCACGTTTGACATAAGCGACACGCCAAGTGGAAGACCACGTTGGGTCTGTGTCTCGAGCCAAAGCGGATAAACCCTGCCAGCCAGAGCTTCATCGTCGAAGTCAGCTCAGCTCGCAGCAGGAATACTGGCTGGAACATACACGTCACGACAGCTCGAGTGAGCGCGTCAGGCTTGGCCTTGCTGTCGTTGTACGCCGTCCAGACTTCCTCTAACAAACTATCAATATCCTTCGAGGCCTGGACCAGTGACCCAGCCAGTTGAGCCAGCGTGAGAGACAGCACGTTGACCATCTGAATCAACGCCGAAGGGTCCATGCCGGCAGTGGGCAACGCCTCGACACACGCGTCGTAGGTCGCTCGAAGTAGTTTCGTGTCGATGAAAGACGAGGATTCCACGACACGATCCAGATAGGATCCACAGGACGCATCCTGCCCTTACCGTCGCCCCCACACGCTTGGCTTGTGCTGGAGTAGGTGAATGGTAGAGTGAGAGACGACACTGAGAGAGCGACGGGGTGCCCGCAGGTCCCAGCAACCTCGTAAAATGGATACTGCTGAGAAACGTTACGAACTTCGACAATGGGTGCCAATCATTATTACGAAACTTAAACTTCAAGAATGGTTTAATAATGGGTGCCAATCATTATTACGAACCTCAAACGAGGGGCTGCCAGTCATTCGGCAACCGGAAACAATGGAAAGCGCCGACAAGAAATACAGCGAATCAATAGAAGGTAGAGCAGCATAGCGATGCATCCTTACATACAAACGATTGAAGTACAGCACGGCTGGACAGTCAATATGCATTGGATCAGGCGAAGATATGCAAGTCGTAGATATGGTTTGAAATCATTGAGATAAACAGTAATGCGTATTTCATCCAGCTAACTCGCACCAACAGAATTGTTTGTAGTCGATACGGAATGTATTCTAGCGCTTCTGATTCTCAAAGACCCGCCGACAGCATCCTCTTCATGTCTGATGTGGAATTCTAGATCGTTCGTGGGAGGTCATAGCCCCACCATGCAGTGCACGTACGTGCATGGTGCACGTCCGGATTAACCCGTCCGAGTTTATAGCATGCGTACTTTTGTGGATGTCAACTTTGCGTGGCACTCGCACCACTATGCCCCTCTCAGGTTCTGCATGTAGTAATTGTATCAGTGGCATTTGTGCGAGGACAGCGATAAACATCAGAGCTCATGCTTGCTGTCATTGGTGCTCTGGTACGAGTGCCCATCTCTATGATAACAATGTGCATGTTGAGCAATACATGTACTTGACAGTTGCTTCATGAGATGTAGCTTGTATCAATTAGCTACGTGATCCACTCAATACGTCGTACCATGTGTCGAAACTGCAGTAATGTTAAGTGGCCTTGTAACAAGACAAGAGTCTTCAAGGCTTTTGTCCTTGTAGTTCGAGGTGCATGGGCGCCATTATGGTGACAGTGTGCACAGCAAACGTCATGAAGCGTCGCTTAGTTCATTATAATTATTCTTTTAAGAATTTCATCATGAATCGTTTTGATCTTCAAAGTGTATCCGTATTTTTACTTCAGTAGTTTTTTTTTTTCACAAGTCACACATTTTATTTTTGAGTTATTATTGGCAGCGACGTCCTCTCCCCCCGTCGAGTGCTTCACTGGCAGAACGAGCAGCTGCAGGCTGCGGTAGCGACGAGCACTGAGATTGAACCGTGGTACTGAAAGCCGATCCGCTTTCTGCCGCTCAGTGTCACTTCAGATTTGGCGACTTTAAGACGCAGTCGGAGACCCTCTCCGGTCTCTTCGACATTCGATCGTACAATTCCTGTGTGTTCTTCATCATGGTGTGTGCTGCCTTATGCCAGCTGGTCGCTAACAAGCCCTATCATAGCACACTCGTTTACTGCGCCGATACCGACAGAGACCATGTTGTTCTAGTATGTAACACGCCATCGGGTCTGGACGAAGACCGACCTGTCAGCCCGAGAACAGGGACGCGCTCGCGCAACTCAACGATTACGAGGTAGGTCTGCAGAATAGTGACCACTTGTCCTATCCGATTTCACATGTATGCATCGGTCGATTGTGTTCCGTCAGACCCGCCCCATTTGGATCCAAGACTACTCAAACCACAGCTACCCAGTGGATCAGGCTCGATCCGGCAGCACCTCGGTGTATGTAGCAACAGTGACAACCACTACAAAGGTCAGTGTCAAGGACACGACTGCAGAGCACTGCAGCAACCCTACCGTCCTCACGGCTCTTCAGTGTCTTGACCCCAGTGCACGAGATCTACAACTGTAGCCGGGCGCCGATCTGGTGGCGGCACCAGTGACTGCAACCTCTGACCACTTCAAGACTGCCGTCAACCTAAAATGAACGGGCAACAAGGCGCGCGTGGGCAGCACTGTGCCACCGACCGCTTCGATCGATCGTGTACTTACGGTGAAGACTAGTACGGTGGTACACTGTGTACAAATGTTGCATCATCAAGAAAGCATTCAACAATCAAGTACTACATCTACACGTCCGGAGATTGCGCCAGTAACAAAGATCTAAAGAAGATCGTCTACTAGATCTACAGCAAGCACCGCTTCATGTCGACAATGACTGTAGCCTACAGCCCAAAAAAGGAAGCATGCTTGCCGCAAGTGCACGGGCTACCGGAAGTCTACGCAAAGATATTATTCATGTGTGCATCGGGCGTTGGCGGCGGAAGGCGTCGCGATATGTTTCTCATTGGAGCTTTGTCGTTCCTGGTTCAGCTGCTATAAGCTGTGGATGTCGGTGCAAGGGACTGCGTTTAAGATCGACCACGGCACGACTGCGTGCTCGCCGAACTCTGCAAAGGCTGCTTTGTCCTGTCTTCAGTCAACTTCGCCGAAGATTCTGGCGCGATGTCTTGTTCGAAAGAAACGCAGTGCTCTCATCTGTCTGTCCGGACGAGTCTCTGCTGCGGAGCGCTGCGTGCAGCAACGAGTCGGCTCTCGGTGCTTAGGAGCGAGTTGTGTCTGGTGCTGCGCGCAGAGTACAGAGTGGGTACCGGAGTTATACCGTTTCGAGTGGGTCGACATACTCGAAATAATCATCCCAGATCACTTCAAGTCTTTCACTCCGAATATGATCGTTTTTAGAATCTACAATCTAGAAGCGATCCAAATTGGTAATCCGGCGAGACGGCTGCCCCCTCGTGATAATTTTCGGAGTCCCCGCGCCTTGTGAAGTTTGTGGCTTGAGCCGGCCAGATGGGATCATGGCCAGATTGCTCAAGCCAGATGGCGACGCAGTATAGAGAAGTTGTTTACGGAGCGGTGCCGGTGGGTTTTCATAAGAATCACGGGGCCAGGTTTGGCAGATCACGTGCTGCATTTCTCGATTGCGTGTCTCTGCTCAAGGTTGGTGGCTTCGGCCGGTGAGGTGCCAATATGTCGTCGTTTCCATCGCCCAGGCGGCGATGCTGACGCAACTTTGAGGTTCAATCGCTGCTTCGTTGTTCGTGGAGTGGTTTGGGTTTCGCCAAATTCAGGGTGTGACGGCCAGATAAATGCGTAGCACTGCCCGAATTTTTGTCAGATTGCGCTTGGTTCCGGGTTTTACTACGAGTTGCGCTGATTTTACACTAAAATTGCGTTTGTTATGAGACTTCGGCGCTTGATAAAGTGTCCGCTGCGGACTTCGATCAGGTGATTTGCCTTCACTACGCTAAGTTAGTGCAAACAATGTGGGGCCCGTGGTCAAATTGATACTAAAGCGTATTTTTGGGTAGGTGACTAGACATTGGATCGGTAAGCGTAGATCCGTTCGCTTATTTTTTTATCCCTGAAGTTTATGGTGTTCTAATTGATCTTTCGAGTATTTGTTGATGCTAGAATTGCGTGGTGGTGGAATGCCAGTCACGAAAATTGCGTTGATTCCTTGCCACTGTACCACGCAGTCAGTATGCTTACTGTCCTTACATTGTAGGATTGAGTTGGAAACGTTGGGTGGAATGTTTCTTGAAAATAATGCTAAGCGTAACAGTGGCCACTGTGCAACTTCGACAATCGTCGCTCTCGGTTTGTTCCATTTGGTGGCACATTTGCTGTTGATACTGAGCTGCTATCACTTGATAATCTGCTGAGATTTATGGTTCTCTGGAAGTATGCTGCAATCGTGACACTTTCAGCAATAGCGAGGCGTAAATATTTGAAGATTTGCATTGTGATTGCTCTATTCAGACGCTAAGAGACGACCTGCCCCATTCCACGAAGCTTGTGGGGACTGTAAACGCTCAGCCACCTGTCGGAGCACACACATTTACGCATCAATTGAAACAATCGGCGAGCCTTTACGAAGTCACATGTTGAAGGAGATCTCAAGTGGCTGCTGTTGTAAAGAGCTATTGGATTATTTTCTCTACCTTTGTGTCTATCACCAGCTCTACAGTCCACCCACTTGTCGTCGCAGTTCAGCCCTGGTGCCGTCTGAGAGTGCTCCTTGCAGCTTTGACCTCACTCTGCAATTTGCAGCAACCCTCTCAAGCCCTCTTCGACCTTCAAGTCTTCTTCGCCAAAGTCTTCTTCGCCAAGGTGAACTTCGCTTTACAAGTAACCAAAACTGTCCCACTCCATGCGCCAAGACGACTAACTACCAAGCACACAGAAGTCTCGAGCCGGAACGTCCATCTTGCACGCCACGAGACATGCACCCATTTCCTCCACCGCGACCTCACTCTGCAGAGTCCACTTGGGTCAGCTCGTCGACTTGGGCCAGAAGATGAACAACGTAGCCTAGATCTCACGTAGTGCACTCGGACATCGCCAAGAAGAAGGAATCCAGCCGGCTTCGACAGCATCAAGCACTCCAGAGAACGAAGCCAGGACGACACGGAGCACAGCGTACTAGTCCTTGATAGTACCATGCGTCTCCGTCTAAAGAGAAGCATCGACCTGTATCTAGAGAGTCGACTCGAGCGCTCCAGACATCAATTGCTGCTGCGTGTACTCCCACAGCACCAGAGCCCCGCTCACGTGCACATTCAGTGAGCGTACCAGTCCAAACTGGGGGATTTCCACACACACGTCGACAAGCTGCAGCACTTCGACCGGGATCCCTTCCTTCTCTCGCCCCAACACCAGCACCATCTTACGGGGCAGCGTGTAGCTCGCGAGACTCACACTGGACGCCGTTTGCTCCACTGCCACAATCGTGTAGCCCTCGCGCTTCCATCGCACAAGTGCTCGTCGTAAATCGTCACCTTGAGGTCGCACTTCTTCCAGTGGCATCCACTTGTGAGCCGTGGCGCTGACATTCACGAACGTGACGTCCTGCTGCGTCATCCGCAGGTTCG